AAGTTAAATGCGACCGAAAAATCGACACCCACGAAGTTGTCGATAATTTACGATGCGCGGGAAAATTGAAGTTATTTTTGAGGTTATTGAGGTTATGTTCGTTTTGATAAGCTAAATAAGTATAAATTCTAACGTGCGTACATAARTACACATATCAGTTTTTTTTATTTACGTGTTTGGCTCTGTGTGTGTGCGTAAAAGTAGATTTACGTTGAGGAACTCTCTATTCGTTGATCGGTGAACGATTCTTGCTTGCATAGAATCGAAGAATCGAACACGAGGATGATAAATAGGAAAAGATTATTAACAAAAAACATAAGGAATAATCTAACTTACAATTTTATCAATTTTTATTCATTTATAATAATATATGTTTTCTATTTATTGAAGTTATACTTCTGTTGGCGTGTTTTGGAAAGTAAAGTTAAATGCGACCGAAAAATCGACACCCACGAAGCGCGGGAAAATTGAAGTTATTTTTGAGGTTATTGAGGTTATGTTCGTTTTGATAAGCTAAAGAAGTATAACTTCTTACGTGCGTACATATATACACACATCAGTTTATTTTTTTCCTTTTGCTCTTTTCTCACGAACAAAAATAACAATATCTTCGATAAAATTACGCGAATAGATAATATACATATATACATATACATATATACATATATATGTATTTTTATCGTGAATTCTTCTTCCTTCTTTTCCCATACATTTTTATTTTATTTTATTTTATTTTATATTATTTTATATTTTATATTATATTATATTATATTATATTATATTATTTCTCTCCTACCCTTTTTTTCGTTATCATCGTCGCTATTCGGTGACGAAAGAGGATTCGATTTCATTTCTATCTCACCCCGTAACTATTATATCAACAAGAGAAAGAAAGAAAGAAAGATATGAAAGAGATAGAGATAGAGAAAGTATGAAAATACTTTGTTTCTTTTTTTTCTTCTTCTTCTCTCGTGTAATCGCTTTTGTCGTTGAGAAAAAAGGGAAAAATATTAAGTTACCTTAGTCGAGTACAGGAAAAAATTCGTCCCTTTGAATCATTAAGTGTAAATTCTCTCGTCATTGTTTCGAATAGATTTGAACGCGCTTTTCACCAAAAAAAAAAATAAAAAAAAACAAACAAAAAAAGAAAAATAAACTTAAAATAACTTCAACGATATTTACGAAAGTACGGTAGGGAGGAGGATCACTTTTCGCGTGACGATTATAACGAATGCATTTTGTAAACCTATGAGAGTTAGCTAGCTAGCGTATCAATGCACCAAAACAATTGGGGCAAAATTGTTGGCGCGTTATCGAGCTGATAACAAAAGGTTATATCTATCTAACTACCTGTCCAAATAACTGATAACTTTGATCGCGTGCATTTAATCTGAACCCTTTTTTTTTTTCTTTCCATTTATCCTTTTTCCTTTGCATGAAAAGAGATTTTCTTTTGTTTGTATGATGTATAAAGTATATTTACCTCCCACACATTGAATTTCATCGAGCAAACAAAAAGAAACTACTTGTTGTGTGAAACATTTAAATCAGTAGTTTTTCGATATAACCATAGAAGAAGAACATCTCGCGAAATCTCGATGTTTTCTTTTTTTTCTTTTTTTTTTTCGTCAATTGCACATAAACCGTACCCATAAAGGATATCACGTACGACGAATAAACGTAAAACGTTACAGCTAGGAAAAGTCGTTTCTCTGTTTTTGTCGTATCTATCGATATTTTAGGGTTTTTCTTTTGGTCTATAAACATTTTTTGTTAGAAAAATATTGTTTGGAAATTTGTGTTTGTTTTTTTTTCTTTTTTTTCAATTTTGAGAAATCAATTCTTATTGGGGGATATTAAAAAAGGAATACGCGTAAACTTCAATCAATTATTATTTAATTAAAAACGTTAATATATTTGACTTGAATTTATCTATCTCTAAGATACCAAAAGCGTTTTATATTACAATAAAATTAATTTATAATTTATATTTATATTAAAGTTCGTTTTCTCCTTTTTCTTTTTTCATACTGCTTCGTATTTTATATTTGATATATGTATATATTTTTTTAGTTCCATAGGTATTCCATAAACTGAATTCTTTTTTGATAGGTATAATTATTATTTTATTGTTTTAATTTCATATTGTTTTTTTCCTTTTGTGAAAAGTGGAAAATCAATTTTTTAAATTCGCGTAATCGATAATAAGATGGTGAAAAAAAATTGTGATATAAAAATTAATTAATTTTTTAATTAAAAACGTTAACACACATTTTGATTTAAAATCATGGGAGACGTATATATATTTGTAGTGTAAAACTAAATTGTATTATTTATATTTTAGATCAATTTTTTAATTATTTTAATTTGCATTTAATTGGTTTCTCATGAAATATTATTTTATTTTATTACATATCGTTATATCGTACACGTTTTCAGTTTCATAAATATTAAATAAACCGAACTATTCTTAAAAAAAAAAAAAAAAAAAAAAAAAAAC